AATTTAACTTTAATTATAAACTCTAACGCGCTGCAAACCAAACAAATTATAACGTCTTTTTTTTCAAAAACTGTCTTTCAAAGGGGTGTTTATTTTCAGTTTTAAAGATCATTGATCTTTTTTTCTGTTTCGTGCAATTTTAAATTCCCACTGAATTGGTCCCATACGACCAATTAAAATGTTTGAATAAACATTTATTATTTATTTGGAGACTCTTCCCCTTTTTTTTCTTTTTCAACATATTTTGACATTCTTTTTTTTTTGATAATTTGGCGTTAGTTCTTAAGAAAACATTTTAACAGCTCTATAAATTGTGGGGAAAATGCTATTAAAAAGTCTCATTTAGTAAAATAACAAATATTTCTTAAATATAAAATGTATTTTCTGGGATGAATATAAATTTGAAGAAATTTCATATTACACAATTTGGAGCACTTAGGAAAAATGTGGGCGCATAAGTAACAAATTTTTATGGGCCAACAGAAATAGTCTGGTGGTATAAAATATCAAATAAGTATAAATTATTAGGAACAACAAGAGGCATATGGGGAATGAGTTGTGTAGTGGCAGAAAGATAAAAAGACCACCAAATTGACGGGTGTTAAAAATTCTTTAATGATTTTGTTACCAAAATAAATGCAGCAATTTTGAAATTTTAATTTTTAAATGAAATTTTATTTATAAAATTAAGCTAACCTTCCCTTAAAAAAACTATAAACACTAATAACTCCTATTACCTAATCGGTTTAAATGAAATTAATATTTATTCATAAATTGTCTAACTTATAAATATCATATTTCTTGTTTATTCCTAAAAAATAAAGCCTGTCAGGCTGACGACGTCGTTGTTCAGTCTTTAATTTATTGTTCATTTCTTCCTTTTTAAATGCTTTTAATTTTCCACTTTATTAGAGTTTTGAATATCCTTATCATCATCATACTCCTCCTCCTCCTCTTATACATCATGCCGTTTTAAACAGCTTTTCTTATTCGATATTCTATTGTTTTTAGCAAAATATATATTTCTTTGTAAACTGAAACCCCATGGAAATTTAACATAGATTTATTTATTTGAGTTTAAGTGACAACAATCCGCACTTGACAGACCGAAAACAATAACAAAAAGCTCGAAACGGAAAAATAAAATAAACCCTTCTATTCCTTAAAGGCAGCAAGGAGTTATTAGGGGTGGAAATTTGTTTTTTTTTTTTTTTTTATTTTTACAAATTAAGAGGATATTTTGTTTTGCTGTAAATGTGGTTTATATGTTCATAACTGCTTTTTAGTTTGTGGAAATATTATTAGCTTTGGGGTAAAACTGCAAAGGAAATGTTTGTTTATTAAATCGATTTTTTATGTCTGGACTAAGTCTGCATTATATCTAGAGTAGAGTGGTTTATTTAAGAGTAGATTCTATGGTCTAACATAGTCAGGAGACTAGTTTTAGTCTGATCTGTAGTCTGTTCTACAGTCAAAACTTTAGACTGCTCTGATCTACAATCTGGTCTATAGTCTAACATTTGATCTTAAGTCTGATATACAACCTGGTCTATGGTATGGTTTATAATCAGGTTTAAAAACTGGTCTAGACTAGTTTATAGTCTTGGCCACAATTTGGATATAGTTTGGTATATGAACTTGATCTGTTGCCTGGTCTATAGTCTAATTTGTATAGACAGATATATAGTTTATTCTATAGCCTGTATGTTTAATCTTAGTTTAGTCCTAGCTTAGTTCTAGTTCAGTTATAGTTCAGTTCTAGCTCAGTTCTAGTTCAGTTCTAGTTCAGATCTAGTTCAGTTCTAGTTCAGTTCTAGTTCAGTTCTAGTTCAGTTCTAGTTCAGTTCTAGTTCAGTTCTAGTTCAGTTCTAGTTCAGTTCTAGTTCAGTTCTAGTTCAGTTCTAGTTCAGTTTCTAGTTCAGTTCTAGTTCAGTTCTAGTTCAGTTCTAGTTCAGTTCTAGTTCAGTTCTAGTTCAGTTCTAGTTCTGTTCTAGTTCTGTTCTAGTTCTGTTCTAGTTCTGTTCTAGTTCTGTTCTAGTTCTGTTCTAGTTCTGTTCTAGTTCTGTTCTAGTTCTGTTCTAGTTCTGTTCTAGTTCTGTTCTAGTTCTGTTCTAGTTCTGTTCTAGTTCTGTTCTAGTTCTGTTCTAGTTCTGTTCTAGTTCTGTTCTAGTTCTGTTCTAGTTCTGTTCTAGTTCTGTTCTAGTTCTGTTCTAGTTCTGTTCCAGTTCTGTTCTAGTTCTGTTCTAGTTCTGTTCTAGTTCTGTTCTAGTTCTGTTCTAGTTCTGTTCTAGTTCTGTTCTAGTTCTGTTCTAGTTCTGTTTCTAGTTCTGTTCTAGTTCTGTTCTAGTTCTGTTCCAGTTCTGTTCTAGTTCTGTTCCAGTTCTGTTCTAGTTCTGTTCTAGTTCTGTTCTAGTTCTGTTCTACTTCTGTTCTAGTCTGTTCTAGTTCTGTTCTAGTTCTGTTCCACTTCTGTTCTAGTCCTGCTTCTATTCTGTTCTAGTTCTGTTGTTCTAGTTCTGTTCTAGTTCTGTTCTATTTCTGTTCTAGTTCTGTTTCTAGTTCTTTCTAGTTCTGTTCTATGTTTCTAGTTCTGTTCTAGTTCTGTTCTAGTTCTGTTCTAGTTCTGTTCTAGTTCTGTTCTAGTTCTGTCTAGTTCTGTTCTAGTTCTGTTCTAGTTCTGTTCTAGTTCTGTTCTAGTTCTGTTCTAGTTTCTGTTCTAGTTCTGTTCTAGTTCTGTTCTAGTTCTGTTCTAGTTCTGTTCTAGTTCTGTTCTAGTTCTGTTCTAGTTCTGTTCTAGTTCTGTTCTAGTTCTGTTCTAGTTCTGTTCTAGTTCTGTTCTAGTTCTTTCTAGTTCTGTTCTAGTTCTGTTCTAGTTCTGTTCTAGTTCTGTTCTAGTTCTGTTCTAGTTCTGTTCTAGTTCTGTTCTAGTTCTGTTCTAGTTCTGTTCTAGTTCTGTTCTATTCTGTTCTAGTTCTGTTCTAGTTCTGTTCTAGTTCTGTTCTAGTTCTGTTCTAGTTCTGTTCTAATCTGTTCTAGTTCTGTTCTAGTTCTGTTCTAGTTCTGTTCTAGTTCTTCTAGTTCTGTTCTAGTTCAGTTCTAGTTCTGTTCTAGTTCTGTTCTAGTTGTTCTAGTTCTGTTCTAGTTCTGTTCTAGTTCTGTTCTAGTTCTGTTTTTTCTAGTTCTAGTTCTGTTCTAGTTCTGTTCTAGTTCTGTTCTAGTCTGTTCTAGTTCTGTTCTAGTTCTGTTCTAGTTCAGTTCTAGTTCAGTTCTAGTTCAGTTCTAGTTCAGTTCTAGTTCTAGTTCTAGTTCTAGTTTCTAGTTCTGTTCTAGTTCTGTTCTAGTTCTGTTCTAGTTCTGTTCTAGTTCTGTTCTAGTTCGTTCTAGTTCTGTTCTAGTTCTGTTCTAGTTCTGTTCTAGTTCTGTTCCAGTTCTGTTCTAGTTCTGTTCTAGTTCTGTTCTAGTTCTGTTCTAGTTCTGTTCTAGTTCTGTTCTAGTTCTGTTCTAGTTCATGTTCTAGTTCAGTTCTAGTTCTGTTCTAGTTCTGTTCTAGTTCTGTTCTAGTTCTGTTCTAGTTCTGTTCTAGTTCGTTCTAGTTCTGTTCTAGTTCTGTTCTAGTTCTGTTCTAGTTCTGTTCTAGTTCTGTTCTAGTTCTGTTCTAGTTCTGTTCTAGTTCTTTCTAGTTCTGTTCTAGTTCTGTTCTAGTTCTGTTCTAGTTCTGTTCTAGTTCTGTTCTAGTTCTGTTCTAGTTCTGTTCTAGTTCTGTTCTAAGTTCTGTTCTAGTTCTGTTCTAGTTCTGTTCTAGTTTCTGTTCTAGTTCTGTTCTAGTTCTTTCTAGTTCTGTTCTAGTTCTGTTCTAGTTCTGTTCTAGTTCTGTTCTAGTTCTGTTTCTGTTCTAGTTCTGTTCTAGTTCTGTTCTAGTTCTGTTCTAGTTCTGTTCTAGTTCTGTTCTAGTTCTGTTCTAGTTCTGTTCTAGTTCTGTTCTAGTTCTGTTCTAGTTCTGTTCTAGTTCTGTTCTAGTTCTATTCTAGTTCTATTCTATTCTAGTTCTGTTCTAGTTCTATTCTAGTTCTGTTCTAGTTCCGTTCTAGTTCTGTTCTAGTTCTGTTCTAGTTCTGTTCTAGTTCTGTTCTAGTTCTGTTCTAGTTCTGTTCTAGTTCTGTTCTAGTTCTGTTCTAGTTCTTTTCTAGTTCTGTTCTAGTTCTGTTCTTGTTCTGTTCTAGTTCTGTTCTAGTTCTGTTCTAGTTCTATTCTAGTTCTATTCTAGTTCTGTTCTAGTTCTGTTCTAGTTCTGTTCTAGTTCTGTTCTAGTTCGGGTTGGTTCTAGTTCTGTTCTACTTCTGTTTTAGTTCTGTTCTAGTTCATTTTTGACAAAATAAATACTAGTTTGAGAAAATAAATGGCCAATGACTGCACTTAAGTGTTTATGACTGACTGGATCCATTTTTGAGATATTTCATATTTTGGGGTGGCTGGCAACATACAGCCCAACAGCTTTATTTATGCAGACAATAAAAGAAAATACTATAATTTATTATATGACACACAAACAAAAAATTAGTTTCCTCTGAAGAGGGTGTCTAGAACTTTTTGTTTACCAATCCAGAAATGAGTAGAGGGGAAGTATTGTCTATTTTTTATAACGAATATTAAAAACACAAAATTATAATACAATAAACATAATAACAACATTAATTATAAACAGATATTTGGAATAAAAACGGAAATATTTCCGGTTTCTATACAAATTTCTAGTTAAACAAAGGACCTGTATGTTAAATTTATACACAAATTCCAAAACTAATTTACATTTTATTAATTTTAATTAATTACTACACAAAAAACTAATTCATTTTAACTAAAAACAATACTTTTATTCATTTTCTCTTTTCAGCCCCCTGTGTTGCTTTTTTTTCTTCTATACCCCCATAGTGCAAAAGTGCTACAACAACGCGTTTGCTTAATATAAAAATTTTTGCTTAACGCTTTTTTTTTGTTGTCAGTCTTTAATTTTACAGGGTGGTTTTCTTTAGCAAAACCATTTTAAAATTTACACAAAATTTTGTGTATAACTTAAACCTCGATCGATATTGTATTGTGTAAAACGTGTTAAATTATTTAAATTAACGTGCAATTCCTAAAAATCAAATTACTTTACATTCTGTCGTAAACAGAATACAAAAAAGAAACAGAACAGTAGTTACCCAACGAAAAGAAAAATCTCCACAACCTTCTTTGTGCCATTCACAAGTGTGATTTTCAATTGGAAAATTTTGAATTTGTTCAACTCAACCGTCGTCAATAAAACGCGCATGATACAAGCCAAGATGGGACTATTTACAAATATTATTAAATGGCTGACATTGTTAGCTGTGGTAACAGCTTTTAGTAAGTATTTTTTATTAGTATATTACATGAGAGTATTTTTTATGAATAGATTTTATATAATAATTAACAATAATTATTCTTAGATGTACAGATTTAAGTGATTTTTTTATCAAGAAAGTGCTAAGTGGCAATGAATTTTGAATAAAAGTAACTTTAATTTTAATTGTCAATGTCAACTTGGTCTTGACATGATTGTAATCAAAGTTGAATAAAAGGAGAAGTAAAATAAGATAAGAATATGGACGAAACTATAGAACGGAGAATATAGATTTACAGAACGGACTATAGAACAGACAAAAGATCAAACTATAGAGCAGACTATATACCAGACGATAGACCAACCTGCAGACCAGGCTATAGAGCAGACTATTGACCAGACTCTAGACCAGACTATAGACCAGACAAAAGACCAAACTATGGAAAAAACTATGGACCAAAGTATAGGCCAGACTAACAATACATCAAACTGTATACAAAACGATAGCACAGAATATAGACCAGATAAAGACTAGACTATATACTAGACTTTAGACAAGGCTATAAACCGGACAATAGGCCAGACTACAGACCGGATAACAGGCCAGACTTTAGACCAAACTATAAGCTATAAACTTGACTATGGACTAGACTATAGACTGGACCATAGATTAGACTATAGAGTGGACTATGGACTAAACTATAGACGAGCCTATAGGCTGGACTATAGACTAGACAATATACTAGACGATAGACTAGACCATAGACTAGAATATAGACTAGACTATAGACTAGTCTATAGACGATATACTAGACGATAGACTAGACCATAGACTAGAATATAGACTAGACTATAGACTAGTCTATAGTCTAGTCTATAGACTAGACTATAGGCTAGTCTATCGACTAGACTATAGACTAGACAATAGACTAGACTATATACTAGACTATACACTAGACTATAGACTATACACTAGACTATAGACTAGACTATACGCTAGACTATAGACTAGACTATAGACTAGACTATAGACAAGACTATAGACTAGACTATACACTAGACTATAGACTAGACTATAGACTAGACTATAGACTAGACTATAGACTAGACTATAGACTAGACTATAGACTAGACTATAGACTAGACTATAGACTAGACTATAGACTAGACTATAGACTAGACTATAGACTAGACTATAGACTAGACTATAGACTAGACTATAGACTAGACTATACGCTAGACTATAGACTAGACTATACACTAGACTATAGACTAGACTATAGACTAGACTATACACTAGGCTAGACTAGACTAGACTAGACTATAGACTAGACTATAGACTAGACTATAGACTAGACTATAGACTAGACTATAGACTAGACTATAGACTAGACTAGACTAGACTATAGACTAGACTATAGACTAGACTATAGACTAGACTATAGACTAGACTATAGACTAGACTATAGACTAGACTATAGACTAGACTATAGACTAGACTATAGACTAGACTAGACTATAGACTAGACTATAGACTAGACTATAGACTATACTATAGAATAGATTATAGACTAGACTATAGACTAGACTATATACTAGACTTTAGACTAGACTGTATACTATACTATAGACTAGACTGTAGTCCAAACCATAGTGCAGACTATAGACTTCACTATAGTTTAGACTACAAACTATCCTACAGCCTGCATTGGTTCAATGTGGACCAAGACTGCAATCTGGTCTATAGTCTAACATTTGATCTTTAGTCTGATATACAACCTGGTCTATAGTATGGTCTATAATAAGATTTAAAAACTGGTCTAGACTAGTTTATAGTCTTTACTACAATTTGGATATAGTTTGGTATATGATCTCGATCTGTTGTCTGGTCTATAGTCTAATTTGTAGTCTAATCTATAGACAGATATATAGTTTATTCTATAGCCTGTCTGTTTAATCTTAGTTTAGTTCTAGTTCAGTTCTAGACTATAGACTAGATTATAGACTAGACTATAGACTAGACTATATACTAGACTATAGACTAGACTGCATACTAGGCTATAGACTAGACTGTATTCTGAACCATAGTTCAGACTATAGACTACACTATAGTTTAGACTACAAACTATCCTACAGTCTGGATTGGTTCAATGTGGACCAAGACTTTTATGTCAAACTTTCAGAAACTAGCGAATTTTAAATTAAATGTCAAAAAAGTAACGTTCATTTAATCAATTCTAAAAATACTTTCCAAAAATATTTAATTCTTTTTTTGTAATATTTTTGTTGTTTTTGCTATTATCATTTATTGAGTGGGGTCATCATTCAATTAAATTTGATTAAATGAATAAATGATTTAGAGCGTATATAATTTACTTCGTATAACAGCAAGTTGTAGTAGCAAATTATTATGATTTATAGTAAATTGGATATATATATAGAGAGAGAGACTATAGGTTTTGATGCAAAGCCGACATTACAAATTAAATTGACAATGACCACTATAGTTTATTGTTGTTTACATTTTTTGCTAAATTAGTTTGGAAAAAAGTAAAATATTTTACTCTTAAAATTTAACTTTTTGAAATATACATAAATACATGAGAAATTGTTTGCTGTTTTAAAAATCCCGCCTTAATATGTTTACTTCTTTGAGGCAAACAAATATTTTAACATATTTTACCTGCTTGGTTATACAAATATTTAAAAAGGTTTTCTTTCATTTATTGTGTCAACAGGTTCTTTTTGTAGGTTTTGTGTCATTTTTACTTTTTTTTCTTTTCAAAAAACCTAAATTATATGTTTGCATATGGTATTTGATGTGTGAAAATGCTCTAGTTATTTTTGAAGTAATGAATATATCGTTATTTTCATAAACCTATGTTTAAAATGTCAAGTGAAAAATGGAAAATGAGGAGGCGTTTTATAGGTAAATACTTTTATTTAAAATTTTGGTTGTGGTTGTAAATTGAAGAAAAAGGTGTTCATTTTTTAAGAAATTTTAGAAAAACAACTAGAACTGAAACAGAACAAAAATAGAATAGAATTAGAACAGAACTAGAACAGAACTAGAACAGAAATAGAACAGAACTAGAACAGAACTAGAACAGAACTAGAACATAACTAGAACATAACTAGAACAGAACTAGAACAGAACTAGAAAAAAACTAGAACAGAACTAGAACAGAATTAGAACAGAACTAGAACAGAACTAGAACTGAACTAGAACTGAACTAGAATTGAACTGGAACTGAACTAGAATTGAACTAGAACTGAACTAGAACAGAACTAGAATAGAACTAGAACAGAACTAGAACAGAACTAGAACAGAACTAGAACAGAACTAGGACAGAACTAGAACAGAACTAGAACAGAACTAGAACAGAACTAGAACAGAACTAGAACAGAACTAGAACAGAACTAGAACAGAACTAGAACAGAACTAGAACAGAACTAGAACAGAACTAGAACAGAACTAGAACAGAACTAGAACAGAACTAGAACAAAACTAGAACAGAACTAGAACAGAACTAGAACAGAACTAGAACAGAACTAGAACAGAACTAGAACAGAACTAGAACAGAACTAGAACAGAACTAGAACAGAACTAGAACAGAACTAGAACAGAACTAGAACAGAACTAGAACAGAACTAGAACAGAACTAGAACAGAACTAGAACAGAACTACAACAAAACTGAACTAGAACTGAACTAGAACTGAACTGAACTAGAACTGAACTAGAACTGAACTAGAACTGAACTAGAACTGAACTAGAACTGAACTAGAACTGAACTAGAACTGAACTAGAACTGAACTAGAACTGAACTAGAACTGAACTAGAATTGAACTGGAACTGAACTAGAATTGAACTAGAACTGAACTAGAACAGAACTAGAACAGAACTAGAATAGAACTAGAACAGAACTAGAACAGAAGTATGACAGAACTAGAACAGAACTAGAACAGAACTAGAACAGAACTAGAACAGAACTAGAACAGAACTAGAACAGAACTAGAACAGAACTAGAACAGAACTAGAACAGAACTAGAACAGAACTAGAACAGAACTAGAACAGAACTGAACTAGAACTGAACTAGAACTGAACTGAACTGAACTAGAACTGAACTAGAACTGAACTAGAACTGAACTAGAACTGAACTAGAACTGAACTAGAACTGAACTAGAACTGAACTAGAACTGAACTAGAACAGAACTAGAACTGAACTAGAACAGAACTAGAACAGAACTAGAACAGAACTAGAACAGAACTAGAACAGAACTAGAGCAGAACTAGAACAGAACTAGAACAGAACTAGAACAGAACTAGAACAGAACTAGAACAGGACTAGAACAGAACTAGAACAGAACTAGAACTGAACTAGAACTGAACTAGAACTGAACTAGAACTGAACTAGAACTGAACTAGAACTGAACTAGAACTGAACTAGAACTGAACTAGAACTGAACTAGAACTGAACTAGAACTGAACTAGAACTGAACTAGAACTGAACTAGAACTGAACTAGAACTGAACTAGAACTGAACTAGAACTGAACTAGAACTGAACTAGAACTGAACTAGAACTGAACTAGAACTGAACTAGAACTGAACTAGAACTGAACTACAATTGAACTGAACTAGAACTGAACTAGAACTGAACTACAATTGAACTGGAACTGAACTAGAATTGAACTAGAACTGAACTAGAACAGAACTAGAACAGAACTAGAATAGAACTAGAACAGAACTAGAACAGAACTAGAACAGAACTAGAACAGAACTAGGACAGAACTAGAACAGAACTAGAACAGAACTAGAACAGAACTAGAACAGAACTAGAACAGAACTAGAACAGAACTAGAACAGAACTAGAACAGAACTAGAACAGAACTAGAACAGAACTAGACTAGAACAGAACTAGAACAGAACTAGAACAGAACTAGAACAGAACTAGAACAGAACTAGAACAGAACTAGAACAGAACTAGAACAGAACTAGAACAGAACTAGAACAGAACAGAAC